CGAGCCCACGATTCGTCGTCGATCGGGGTGTCGGGATGGTGACGATGGCCGACGATGGCGTTTCGACCGAGCGAACCGAGCATTTTGATCGACCGTTCGTGTACGCATGTCAGAGATTGCCGGACGGTGCCGACCGAGAAAGGAGATCAACAAAGATCAACAAAGATTGGGAAAAAATTGGCAGAACACCGACCGGTCGAGTGGGCGTTCTTCGTCAACGGAAGTCAATGAGAGAAGACGAACACTCAATAATAATAATAATAATAATAATAATAATAATAATAATAATAATAATAATAATAATAATATTAATAATAATAATATAGTGGAGAACACGATCAGCGCAAATAGCTTTTGGCACTTGGCGGTTTTTTTTTTTTTTTTTTTTTTTCTTCTCACGGGGGGGAACCGGGGAACCAACCTGGGGGGGGTTTTTTTTTTTTTTTTTTCGACACAACGTTTGGAGAGAACTCGCAAAGAGTGGCGCGTGAAAAGGCACGTGTGAAAGGGGAAGATCGGGGGAGGGGGGAGTCGGAGAGAAGAAATCGAGACGCATCGCGATTTTGTTATTCTGGCGATTCGTTCTTCTCTCCTCCATTCGTTTTCGACCACCTTTGCTCGTGTTTCCTTTGTTTCGTTATATATTTTTTTTTCTTTTTTTTAATTTCTTTTTTTTTTTTCGCCAATCGTATCGTTTCTCTCGATCTTGTCGAATGATATCGGGTGTCTGAGGCTGGCGCACAGGCGGAACGAGTACTGAGCGGACAGGCAACAGCGGCGCAACAGCGATCGCACAGAGATGAGCATAGAGCACAGATCATTGCGACGGATGAACTTTTGGAAATGCCAGCTTCTCCAATGAGTATAGACAGACAGACAGGCAGATATATATATATATATATATAGGATGACACGTGATTTCGCACTTGTTAACAAATTTTTACGATTTTTCGAGCCGATCGCATTTTTCTCTCCTTTCGAAAATTCGTTTTCGAAACTTCGACTTGTACCGTTAAACACGTGACAATTATATACATACACACACATATATATATATATATATATATATACATCTTTGACTCGAATGAATCGACGTCCAAGTTCTCATCCTCTCCGTTATTACGTATCTCACTATTATTATTACTCTACAAAACTTTCATCGCCGCGTTTCTGATCACGTTTAAGATACACGTGTACGTGCTTTACACGGGATCGATGCCAACAACGTAGTACAAGGTTATATTATTGACTCTCGACCAGAGGACGCCAGAGGTTGCTAAATATCCGTTATCTTAAATCTAGTTAGTTTATATCCGTGAGCTACTGCAGTCACGACATTTGAAGTCTCTTTTTCGAAGCGAGAATAAACAGAATTATCGCATAATTGGAACGCATAATTGGCTCGACGGAATATAACGTTAACGTTTAGCTTTTTAAGGATTTGTGTTCGACTGTATCGAATTAAAGAGAGCAGAAACGGACGAACAAACGATCCCCGATTTATATTTAAAGATTAATCACCGATCGAATATCGCGAAGTTATCTCCATCGATTATTAAATAAATTTTTTTTTTTTTTTTTTAAGGATCGAACCGTTTATCGCTTT